GGGGGTGTTTTGGTGGTTTTTATTCCCCCCCCCCCCCCCCCCCTTTTTTTTTTCCTCCAGACTCTGAGCAGTATGTTCTTTCACTTCTGGTGTGTGACAAGCTCTGCAGGTTCCTCTTGGGGGACCATCAATGCATAAGCGAATTACCAAACTGTAACATGGTCTCCATAATGGTTGTGCATATATTTGAAGGTACTGGTGCTGGTCATCTTGAAGAAGCTGTGAGCTGTTGAGGACTTGCTATTTGGAACTCGGATCTGTTCAGTAGATGTTTGGTGCTCCCAGAGTATTCAGATATCTACCCTGTGCACTCTGGCAGTTTGTATTTGTCTGCGTAGCAAGAGACACTGTCCTTAGCACAAAGACAAGACATATCATCTTGCAGTATGTACAGAGAAATTCCAAAGATATGAGAAATATTCCAAGACACAAAATGGATGCCAGACATCTCTGGCAGTTTGTGTTTTTCTCCTCTGCCCATACGGTTCTTGAGACGATCAAATCTGTATTAATGATAGTTCAGAGGACAGAGTCTTTGGAATCACCTTTACCCTGTGCTGCCAGGTTGGGCTTGCTGTGATAATTGAACTGAGTTGTCCTAGACTGTACTTGTCTACTTACTTGCTTGTATCTCCCTGCTCATCTCACTTCACCAAGCACTTCAGGGATTAGGAGTCTCTTGCTAATAGAACTATCTGGTTTGACTAGACTGGGGGAGAAACTCATTTGGTGTTTGGAGTAAACAGAGAGAGAACAGGCTTCATCTTTATACGTGAGAGATCACTAATAGCGGGTCTGCATTGGTGTTACTTGTTTCTGTCATACTCCTTTTCAAGTGATCCTTGTCTTGCAGAATATGTGATCTGCTATTAGTTCCTTTAGGCTGAGAGAAAGGCATCTGAGATTCATCCAGCCATTTTTGTTGCATGGTTTTGTACTTTTGGCCATGCATAGTCTGTTTTCATTACAAATGTGATACTGTGTCACCTGCACTTTTAATGAATGTCTGGCGATTTAGCTTGTAGCAGAGACTGGGATAGCTCAAGATTATATCCTTTCTGATTCTATTTTCTGAACCTGTGAAGTAATTTCTCTTACCGGCACAGGTTGGAAGATCTGTAATCAGTTCTGGTTTCTCAAAAATCAAACTCCAGTGGTCAGATATTGAGGTTTCTGAACAATGATAAGTTTGAGGCCAGAGCGTTGTGCTTGGAGTTACTTGGCATTATGTTGGGCACACAGACTTAATGACTATTGTTGTTTCCTGCAGTTCCTAAACAATGACCTTAGCCTTAAGCACAACAAATGACTTTCAGTCCCCTATCAGTCCTACGAAAACTTGCTATGCATAGGTGCAGTGAATGTATAAAAAGGGCTGTTTTTTTCTGTTCTCGTTCACCATTCCTCTTACACATACTGCTGTCATTGGTGTCTTGGTTCCGGCTACGGTGTTTAGCTCTGCCACTTGTAGATGCAGGAATCCTTTTTCTGAAATACCTGGATGACCTAGAGCTCTGTCAATAAATTTGTTTCTTGAGGGTTCCTTCCCAAATCCACTGGTCACATACTGACAGCTAACGTGTGGATGAGTTACATGAACAAGCAGGACGAAGCACTTGGTTATCATCCCTTCGTAAGAAAAAACATTGAGTCTTGTGTTGAATGTCTGTCTTTGGGAACCACATTAGCTTTGCATGTCCTAGGTCCCAGCAGTGTTCTTACATACTTCTTGAATAAATAGAATAGAATAAAGATGTTGACTAGCTCCTGCTACAATCAGTTTTCAACTTGATATTCCAGTTGGTTTGTCACATTTGTTGGCTACAAAAAAGAGGATACTGAGTAATTAGACTTTTGCCAAAGTGGCAGAATGCCTCCTTTCTTTGTTTCAAGACATTTTTTTGATTCCTCTGAATTCAGAATAGCCTAAAAAATATTGGAGAGGTCTTTCATAATCACAGTTCATTCTGCAAGTATGAGAATGCTATCAGACCTGCTTTAAAAAAGAAAAAAAAACTGTTCCAACTCTCACTTATACCTTCTGGCTTAGTTGTTTACTTACTGGGCAGTGCTGTCAGCCTGTTCCTTTGCAACTGCAGTAAAGCTTATACAAAGTAGGTAATTCAAATAGAAAAAAGTGTTTTCAAAACAAACAAACAAAAAACCTCTACAAATTGTGGGTATATGAATATATGTGTTTCTGAGACATGTATGGCTGGCATTTTTCTGCAGCGTGTCAGTTTGTTGCAGATCAGTGTTTCAGTACAGTGTTAATTTTTCTTTCCATCTTGAAATTTCTTAAAAGCCTTGTTTGTATTTGTCTTCCAATTAGCAATTTATCATTTTGCTCTGACTAGTATTAGTTTCCTAATGGTTAGTTGCTTTAAAGCAACTATGACAATAAACACGAAGTAGTCGTTGAATTACTGTCAGAATGATCTGTGCGCTGTTAATTTCTAGCTACAGTTCCTCATAGCTGATAGCTGAGCTAGGTGGAGAATAGTGGGATCAATGTACTCTAAGGTCGTAAGTGTAGACATCTTTTATATGTCTTTCTAGAAGGCCAAAATGGTGATGAAATTAACTCCAAATTAATTTCATCAAGTTGTTTCAGAATTCTCCTTGAACCAATTAGCCACTTTGTTGTCCTTCCCCAGGAGGGTTTGACACTGTAGGAGGAAGGGCTGCATGCTTGGAACACTTAGAGCCATTCTTGGCTACCTCCTCTAGTCTAAGCCATTTATTGCTCGGCTCTTTCCAGCCTTTATGAGCCCAAGCTACTGCAGAGTGGTGGAAATGGATCAGAGAATGCATATGCAGCAGTGAACAACTACTTGGACTGCTGAGTCTCTTTCCTCTAACAGGCACAAACGGTACTGTTTCTGTTTCAGAAAAGTCTAAACAGGGTGGAGTAACTCCTCAATTTCTGCTATGCCTTCCATGCTTTAGGTGTTTCAGATACCAGCCTCCTGAATTTAGTACTTCAGTGTTGTTTCCTGAATGTAGTTAAAATTCCTTATGCTTCTTGTCAGAGAGCATTACCTTGCCGGTCATCTCTGGGGGGAAGGGGCGCTATGGATCTAGCATTTCAGATAACTATTTACCCAATGATGAATGAGGTTCCTTGAGTTATTGTCAGTGAGGACCTGTAACCTGTTCTCTGTGGTTCTTTTGTGTTACCAACTTACTGGCTTTAGAATAGTGTAAGTGTGGGTCATGTCTATTTTGGTCTTTATGCCTTTTATAGCATTTTTTGAGGAAGTGAAAAGAGTATGTGCAGCTCTCCTTACTTAATAATTCAGAGTGCACAAAGTATGCGTGTGCCTACAGATAGGACCTGTGTTGACTGTGACATGGAATTTCTCTGGGTTTAGACACACAGCCAAGTTGCAGCCCATCAGTTGATTGTGGTAACTAATGGTGTACACAAATCTTACTTGAACTTAGACAAAGCAGTTTGGGGTTGAATTTGAATTAGTCTGTATTTGTTGTAAGGAAAGTTCATGTACATGGATAACGATTGTGAATCAGTTGAAGTGTGACAGACTGAGCAAACACAGTATTTAGGTTCAGTGATTCTTACTCTGTTAAGCAGTGTCCCAAATGACTGGATATGAGGACAGAATGTTGGGTAAACTGGTTCATGAAGGGAAAAACGTTGCTGCTTACACTGGCTGTTGACTAAAAGATTGCTTTTAAATAATTTGATGAATTAATTGCTTGTTTCTCTTTCTTTTTTCAAGTATGTATAGAAAATATGATTCGACTAGAATAAAAGCAGAGGAAGAAGTCTTTTCAAGTAAGAGATGCTTAGAATGGTTCTATGAATACGCAGGTAAGGGTGAAATGCGGATTTCCTCCTAATAACGATTTAATCTACATTGGAATATAAAAATTGCGTTAACTGAGCTTTTCCAAGACTGAATATAGAGGCTTTTTTTTTTTAAAGCCTTAAAGAAGCTTTTCTTATGTTCTGTGTAGCGTGAAGTTGAAGAGTTGAAGGGGCAATTTTGTCTTTCTCTCTATTCTATAAAAAGAATTCAAAATGTGTGCAACTTAAAATATTTTGGAACATGTATACTTTACTATTCAAATCTATAGTTAAGGCTGTATTTCTGTCCAAAATGTTGTTACCTCTGGGGCTTTAGAAGTTCTGTCATCTGCCATGTTAGTGCTGAATAGTACAGAATTATGCAGGAGGAGAAGTGTGTCTTCAATTAAAAAAAAAAAAAAAAAAAAAAAAAAAGCTGGGGGAGGTAGTAACATTAGTTTTGTTCCTGCTGAATCTGGTGCTTACGGTTTCAAGCAAAGAAGTGAATAAATTCAAGTATCTTGTACTAGTCTTGTCTTTATATAGTTTTTTCCATCACAAGGTATAGGGAAGGTAGACTGAATTACTTATTCTTGCTCTTGTGTATGAGAACTTTCTTCAGGCATTACTTCTAGGATTGTTAATTATGATCGGTCACAAAAGATGATCCTTTAATAGTGAAGTTGGTTGTTGCATTCATTTTTTTACACATGGTTTTCTGAAGGGGAGGACTTGAAGTTTGGGGAAAAATGATCTCATGACTGTAAAGACCAAAAGGAAATGAAATAGGTGATTGACAAAGAAAATAAGGTCATCTTGCAGTTTTCTCATGCTGTCTTGGATAACGTTGCTCACAGCTTGTTCTGTTTTGTCTACTTCTTAGGCATAATGAAGAGTGACTTAATTTGATGTAATAAAGTATATTTTTTTCTTCTAATAAAATTATATAAACTAAATTAAATACTTTGAGATCTCACTTGCCTGTGGCAGTCTGCGAGAGGAGATTCAGACGAATTCAAGCCAAATCTAACCTGTTAGATTCTCTGCCTTTCTGACCAGCTCAATTTATTTTTTTACTCTAGCAAGAGGGATAACTCATTTTTGTCAAGACTTTCATGGAAAGAAGGGATGAAAGGAAGGCTGTATATGAAAGAACTTTTGGGTTTCCATTGGATGCATACACCAAGATAAAACAGAGAAAAGTGGAGAGTATGATTCTGTTTACAGTATTGAGTAACATTCTAAAAAATGAATTTTCAAAGAATAATCTCTTTTGTGTTCTTGCTTCATAACTCTTCTCCTTTATATATGCAGACAGCTGACACTGCATTTGTTTGTTTTTTTTCCCTAGTGTGTCTTTACATTGCAGAATGCATCTTTTTAAAGACTGTTGTGTACACTCAGAGAACTGTGAGAGGATGTCATGAGAAGATGGGAAAAGATATAATTAAACCTTGTTATTTCTAGAATAGTAGGTCACCTAATAATAAAACGTAAATTGATCTTCCCTTTATAAAGCCTCTTTTCTTGCACATGTGATCTTTATACTGGATGAAAGCAGGCATTTCAGCCTCTAATGTTTTTTTTCCCAAATGAGCCCTTTAAACATAAAGTAATTCTAACAAAATAGTACAAATACTTAAAATGTACTTAAAAAAAAAAATAGAATTGCACAGCACAATTCTTAATGCCTATACAATTTTTTCAATAGAGCATTGTAGAAGTTACAAATATATTGATTTAACAGCATGTTTTAATAGTAGTGCATTTTAATAGCATCTGTATTTTGAATCTTTTTTCCTTTTATGTTGGCAAAGAAATAGCTGTAATTCATGTCTTCCTTCCCCCTGCAGTTACTAAAATTCAGATAATGTGTGGCCATGGTATAGCAATATGAGTAAACAGGAGCAGGAGATTTTTATTTTAGGCTCTTTTTTGTAGATAACCTTATATAAAGATAGTATGTAAGACAGTAAGGAATGAGGTTCTGGGAATGATAATGTCTTGTATCCTGTATGGCTACACATCACATTTTTATGTGATATGATCGTGATATCTCTCTATCACATAGAGATTCAAGCCAAGAAACGAGTTTCACTAACCATTGTCCACTCATTTAACTGTGGTAATATTACGTGGATGTTCTGGTAGTCTTAAGTGCATTCTTAAATATCTTATTAATTTACTCTTCCAACGTTATCTCAGCAAATAGGTAGAGTAAAGGATATTGTCAGGAATGAAAAGTTGTTCTACAGTTTTTCTGTCTCTGTTTCCAAAGGTGAGATAAAGATTTAAGTGTGTCCAAGTCTGATACTAAGTGTGGAAATGTTTACTGCATGTCAAAACAAACAAAAAAAACCCTGTATGGAAGTTCAGGTTGTACTGTGTGATTGCATTTCTCCTGTGCTGTAAAGGACAGACTGTTTTAACTTTCAGATATAAGTAAAGTGCATTTTGTTTGCAGGCACTGATGACATTGTAGGGCCAGAAGGTATGGAGAAATTTTGTGAAGACATTGGAGTTGAACCAGAAAATGTAAGTTCAAAGTCCATTCAAAAGATGCCTAATCTGTTACGATGTACATGAGTCAGTCTCAGATCTCTTATTTTTTCCATCAAGAATTTAAAAAATTCTTGGGAGTTTTTTAAAAAAATACAAACCAGGGAGGTTTATATAAATTTGGAAACAACTTGCCTTTATTTTAAACCCCATAGTGTCAACCTGTAAAAACTCAATTTGTCTGTGTTGCCACCCTTTCTCTTTCACTTTCCCACGCCCCCCAAAAAGAGATTTAAAAAAAAGAAAAAAAAAAGTGCTGATGGTTATAATTTCTGAAACAATGAGACAGCACTGGAGATTTAATGTAGCAACTACAAAAATACAAAGTAATGTTTTCTTTGGGTTTTCTAGGAGAGAAAGGGATTTCAAATATTGTGAGCAATATTAGCACTTCCATGATGCCATTTCAAAACATAAATAAGGAATATATATAGATAGGTATATATATTTTATATGTATGTATATATAGAAGTAAATAAAACTTAAAAAGGAATAGTTGTGCCTTTTACAGGCTTTGCCTAATTTAAATGTATATGCAAGTCCCATCTTTTGCAGGATTCATAAAGCATTATCTCTGACTAAGTAAAATGAGAATTGTGGTTTTGAAAGATTTACTGAAAATATAAGATGTAATTTGCTAATTTTGGAGTTCATTAGTATAATAAACTCTTGAGATTTATGCAGACATTGGGGTATATAAGTAGGTATTCTGATTTCGCATTAAAAACCGTGTAGGGCTGCACTAACACTAGCTAGTTAGTGGCTGAGTTGCAAATTTAAATGACTTGATTATTTTTATTCTTCTAGTCTGCAGGGTCAGTTGTCCTGCAAGTTTTACCGTGTATATATCAAAAATGGTTTCTTAAGTTCCTGCATAAGATAGTAATCTTATGGTATCACTTTATCTAAATTCTTTACTGCTTCAGTCTTCTGTGTGAGATGTGAAAAGGACTCTCGTTTCGGTCAAAACTGAAGTATTTATGCATCAGCCTCTGTTTTGATGTGTGTTAATGTTAGTTCACTTAGCTTTACTTAACATCTACTTGAATTATACTGCATGTTCAGACCCGCAAAATTAGGTAGGCTGATGGTACCCTGGGGTAGCTGGATTCAGGTGGGGTCATTACCAGCTTTAGAATAATTGGATTTCACAGAGCTCATGGATTGCAACTGATGTTCATCTAGATGAGAGTCTTAACAAATGTCAAATGTAACTTGTCGTCAAATTGGTACTTAAATTTTGTAGTTGTTTTGGGAAACCTTTTCTGTAGCTTTTGCACCAACTCGTCTTCCTCATTGCACTGCTCACTAGATGACTGTGCATGCTCCCTTGAAGTAAGGTGGCTACTGGTTGGTAACTTGGGTGGATGTTCACTCTGTATCTTTCCACTGTTATCTTCTCCTTGTTTGGATTATGTACAGGTTTGCTACACTATTTTAAAAGTTAAAAAGTGACAAAGATCTGAACATCCCATTTATACAAGTAAAGCATTTGTAGCCTACTAAACAGTAGTTATGTGAAAAATGTGTGGATCTTTTTGTTAATTCTTTTCAGTTTTCATTTTTTTTTTTCTTCTTTAAAACAGGTAGTTATGCTTGTACTAGCATGGAAATTGGATGCACAAAACATGGGCTACTTTACATTACAAGAATGGTTAAAAGGAATGACATCACTACAGTAAGTGCTTTGAAAAGCCTCTTAAGTTTGGTATAGTAAACCGAGTTTTTTAGAAGAACCACACTTTGATGTTTTGACTCAAAACACCTAAAGCCAGAGAGCTTTACTGTGGAGTAGAAGCCATAAATTTTTGGTCCTATTTATGGTTATATGGCCACTTAGAGACAACTTGAAACCTGACGGCTGCATGTTTAAATACAGTTGTATTAAAGTGTCTGCAGTCTCAGGAAAACAGAAATGTCATGAGGTTTGACGTTGTTTCTGTCCCCAAAGACATCTGTCTTTGTCACTGGATCGGACCTATCTATTAGATATTGGTATGTTGTTAGAGCATGTGTAGTTTAAAATGCTAAATAATAGAAACCCTTTCTGTGACTCTGCATTGTCATGCTCTTTCTAAGAGTTGCTTTCTCCAGTTGAGAGCTTATCTTCATGGCATAATTAACATAAATGTAGTTGAATAATCACGTTTCATAGAGTTGGAGAAAGAACTGTGTTTTGACTTATCTTCCAGAACAGAATCACTAAAATGGTGTAGGTTCTGTAGTTGTAGGTGTGACTTATCTTCCAGAACAGAATCACTAAAACGGTGTAGGAAGTTCTATAGTTTCAGCAAAACTATAGAAGTATTGTTTCACTGCTGTGGTTTGCTCGTTGTTTGCCGTGTGTAGACAAGCTCTTAGTTTAATCTGTTGGAGAGTGCATTTTCTACAAAGCCAAACAAATTTTTATCAGAGTACCAGTGTAAGACTTTGCTATTTTATCTAAATCTGTTTCATGCTGTGGATTTAATCAAGGCATTTTACGCAGACAAACTCATAAACATGCCTTTGTACAGAGTGATGTATTTTGAACAGATTGATGAGGATACGTGTTAGAGATTCTTTTCTAAAACATCAGACATCTGTATAAGAACACAGACTCTAAATTCACTTTGTGCTTTTCTTGTAGATGTGACACTACAGAAAAATTGAGAAATTCTCTGGATTACTTGAGATCTTTATTAAATGAGCCTACCAATTTTAAACTTATTTATAGATATGCATTTGACTTTGCACGGGTAAGTACTGTGGAAGACCAGCATCTGAAATTAAAACTTTACTTTCGTAAGTAATAATTGGAAGGCTGTATACTTCTAAGTATGTTTCTCTTAAGATACCACTCAAGATTGCTTCTACCAAATGGAACTATTTGTGTTCTAAAAAAGTATATGCAAAATGCCAGAACTGGGGGGAAAAAAAAAAAATACAGGATGCTTGATGTCCAGTGGCTTAGTGTTTTGACACGTTTTGTTACCTCTCTGCTTCAAGCTATTTTGTGACTTCAAGGAAATCATTTAGGCCCTATTCTGTTGCACGTTGGAGCTTTGCCACTTCCACTGGCTTTATAATTACCCTGTTTTTTCTTCTAGCTGTTTGAATTTTGTGAGCATAAACATATTTAAAACAGGAAGGCACTTCAGGCATTTCTGCATGTGGTAAAAATAACTAACATGATAAAAGCTGAATATTATATAATATAAATACTGGTTCAGAAGACTGTTGGAAGGTCATTAATGATGATCTCAGTATTTATTAAACAATATCCTGATATCAGTCTTCCTACCATAAAATATGTATTGATAAAATTATACCTGGTATTGGAACCTATAATATGCATAAGACTATTCCTACTTAAAGGGAGCAGTAAAAGAACTTTAATTTTCTGAATTAACATTTTGACATGAATTTGGACATCCATCTTGCTAACGTGATGGAATATACAGAAGATTTAACATAAAAATGATCACAGGCAAAACTGAAGCTCAGATTTCAGTGCAGAAGAACCAAAAGCACCAAGAAAATTTGCAGCAAAAAAAGTAACATGAGAAAAATAATAAGAAGAAATTGAACTGATAGCAATTCTGATAGTTAAGTCTGTCATAAGTAACTCAGATTTGTGGTACATCAGTACTTTTGGCATGTCAGCGTGCAGAGATTCACGGTAGTTCACTTTTAACCAAGGAAACTTACAGCTGAATATGACAGAAAGCATGGTATTAGTTAGTATGAGAGAAAAAAAAGCCATATCAACATCTTAATTCCTCCTTTGCTGTGTAAAAATTTATTCTGCCAGTTTTGCTCAATGTAAAATGCAAAGGCTAGAAATAACTAACGTTGCCAAAGAAGTTCAAGATACTGATGAAACGTTTGGAATAGATTAAAAAATGTTTTAGTAGTAGCAAATCTGCACCAGCTGATGGCCTGTCAAAAGTTAGTACAGAAACTAAAAAAGAGGATGGTGGGTGGCGTTTTTTCAAGAGGTACCAAATTGATGTGATAAACAGTGTTCTTGAAAAAGAATTTAAACATTGAAACACAAATGCTGCGACATCATTTGTGACAAAAAACCCCCTGGATTGTAGAACTGCAAGTCAAAGGTATATCAACAGGGGAATTGTCAAAACAATATTAGATCAGTAGAATTATTGAACTTCCAGTACTGTGGAGCCAGGGCAAGTCTGTAGGAGAATAGCGTCTAGTAAGAATAGAAATGAATGCTGGCAAAGGCTGATATATTTATCTAGATGTGGCAGATGAATATGTACATAGTTTTTATCAGAATAATTGAAGTGATTGATAGAAAAAAGCTGATGGGAACAGTTTTGGGTTTTGATTCAAAAGATTGTGTGATTTCCATCCTAAGGGTAATCATTTCCAGGAAGTGCTCCATGGCAAAATACACTTGTCTAAACTTCTGAAGTTTTAAGAGAGAATTTTTGAAAGCGTCTGTTGTGATTTGGTATTTAGAGTTAGTTTGTCAATAAAAACAAGTATCATCGAGGTCTTATGCAGCATGCACGATTTAAGTTAGCATGGATTTGAGGAAATAATTTAAAACACCATATGTTGGTATTAAGCAAAAATACATTCCTTGCTCCCTGTTTGCCATTGTCATTGCCAAGTTTGAGAACATGCGGAAGCATGTATTTCATGGCTTAAATAGGTCTTTTATCTGAAATATTGGGAAAAAAAATCTCAGAAAGACTGTCATCAATGTAAAACAAATACTGAAATTTATCAGAGTTTGTCAATATATTCTTTCCACTGTATCCAAGAAAGAGAATGTTAAGTATCTGGAATGTATGTTAAGAATGAAATTGGAGCATCTGTCATGGCAGATCATAGAATCATAGAATCATAGAATCATTGAGGAGTATCTGGAATGTATGTTAAGAATGAAATGGGAGCATCTGTCATGGCAGATGTGCCATTAGGCAGTTGGATGTGGGTATAAGGGGCTTATCTGAACAATTTGTTCTGAACAGTAGTCGGAGAGGGAGAATGTAGAAACTTAACAATGTAAGGCATGTAAAAACAGCATGGCCAAAGTAAAGGCAACAGAGCCTGATTTCATTAACACTTGAGTGTGTGGGAAGAATTCAGAGTATAAACAGCATGGAAAATAAAATATATTCTCACAGCAGTATGATTTCTGCTTAAAGGTGCTTGTGACAGAGGTGTAAATGGGCTTTGGAAAGAGGATTAGTTTTTAGAACTATTTGATACTGGAAATAAGTGAAAGAATTGTATCATATTAATACAGAAATGCTTTTGCAGGTTTGTTTTTCCGCTTTATCACTAATCGAAAAGCTTTGTTCATCCTGAGATTTACTTTTTTCCCTCTAGATCAGATTGAGTAAAGCCCCTCCTGGATTTAGTGACCAGAATGTAAAACAGTTTCTGGTGTTTTCAGAGTTGCTGGCCTCCCCACTTTCCTTCCAAAACAAATCTGCATTAAGTTTTGTCAACACAATTTTAGAGTTGAGGTGTATTTTGTATGAAATGGGTTTCAAGAAGAGAGGATAACCTTGTGGCTAAGGCATTTAGTTGTCTGAGAACTGGGATCTCGCTCTACCACATCCTTCCTACATGATAGAAGACAATTCAGTTATGTTTTGAGCTTGTTTTTTTAATAAAGATGTGTATTCTGTAATACATGCAACTGCACTTGTACAGGTGAGGCGTAGGGCTCAGTTCCCTTTGTCTTGGGTAGCTGTCTTGCACTGTTCTGTTAGGCGCTCCCTGTGTGCTGGATATCCCTATATCCCTGTTTTTTCTTAATTTAGACTTTGCAATCATGAGTACATATAGAGAGATCAAGGTCTACAGTAGCTAATATGGAACTTTATTTTTTGTGATTTAATTAATTTCTAAATTTGTAGCTTAATGCTATAACCAAGGCATAAAAGGGTGGGGTTTTACGTCTCATCTCTCACCAAAATTTATTTAATTTCAAGACAACAAATGTAGATGGATAAACTATTTAAAATAACAAAATGGAATCTTACATGTACACATGTTAATTTTGAGATGTGCAGAAGTTGTGTTACCAAATATATTAACTTTCCCACTGATTAGATGCAGTGAATCTGCTGGGTACAGATGATGCTTCTTTTTCTTAGCAGAAACAAAAAAATCATCCTGTAAGCCTTAATATACTACTGCTACGTTGAACTAAAACTGGGACAGTTCTGAGAGGGGTCTCCATGTGCTAGTGTATTATGTTCCCTCTGCTCATTTGATAATTAATTTAATCTGAAGTTCATATAATCAGTAGAATAACAGAAGAAAGAACCTCCTTGGCTCACTCCTGCATAGTCAGTGTTACTTGATAGCTGCTTAACTATCTACTGACAGTTCACGTAGTTGTAATAATACAGCAGGAAATATGTGCAGCAATACTATTTTAAGAGACGTAAGGCTATGCAGAGGCATACATGCAAACATGGGTATGGGTCTAATGGCCATTGCTTTCTAGAAAGGTCTGAAGTCACAAATGGGAGTGTATGCCTCATCTGCAATAGTGGTGACAGTTTTTTGGGAAAGTCTATAGAAAGCAGCATCTCTGTATAGCAAGCCATTAGCTGTGAGGAAGGAAATTTTACTAGGAAGCTGTGTTTTATTAAAACCCACTGTTAGATACTGCTATTTATTATTTATTTGTTAATTTATTTTATGTATGGGTGAGCTGTAGTACAGGCAATGGGGGAAGTGAAGAATCCTGAAATCACGCTCTCTTTTCCTTTTTGACCTTTTTCTTTTTATGCAGGAAAAGGACCAGCGCAGCCTAGATATCAATACTGCCAAGTGTATGTTGGGCCTTCTTTTAGGAAAAACATGGTCCCTTTTTCCAGTATTTCACCAGTTTCTAGAGGTATGAAGTTTAAACCAGAATTACATTTTTTTTTTTTGGCTGTCTTCTCTGATAGTTTAACTAGAGGTAGAATGAGTAGTTAAGAATTTTTTGTTCTGATTTAGAATATACTAACCCCCAAAGCAGCACTTGTAACTGGTTATCTTTCCTTTCTTCCTTTTCCCCAAATCTCTGTGCTGTTAAGGTTTATGTAATGCAGGACAAAGTATAGAGTGTCTTTGATTTGCTTTTGAACTTTCATTTTATTGCTATATGTTTGTCCACTAAAAGATGTCTTGATCAGAAATGTGAATTATTCAACACTAGTTTGACTACTAAGTTGTTTTTCTAATCCTGTTTAGTTTTAGATGGCATACAGATTAAAATAATAATTCATCACAAGGTTTAAATTTTCCGTAAGAAAATCTGAATTTGAGGGAGTTGAAAATACATTTTAGTAACTTCTGTCTCTTGCCTTAAGCAGCAATCAAAATACAAAGTTATCAATAAGGACCAATGGTGTAACGTTCTTGAATTCAGCAGAACGATTAACCTTGACCTCAGTAACTATGATGAAGACGGAGCCTGTAAGTACTACCATATGTTGGTGTTCTAAAATAATTTATTTCTCTGAGCTTAATCATTCAGTGTCCTTTTACAAAATTTTGTAAAATACAGTTATTTGATCTCTCTACAGGGCCAGTGTTGTTGGATGAGTTTGTGGAATGGTATAAAGGAAAACAGATGACATAGGAGTTTAACTATGCACAGCCACTCAAGAGTCACTGTTACCACAGTTATGTCAACCATTAGCCATAAACTGCTATTTGTATCAAAGTGCATGCTGCTTTTCTTGCACTGCATCCCTTTTGCAGGGAACTTTTGATGTTTGCTATTTAACAAGCTAGCTATGCTTGCTGTGTAGCATTGTTCTCTTTGAAGGCTGCTTTGCATTTTGTATTTACACTACGAATTGGTGAACTTGCCAGCGTCTTCACTGTGATTATGTGTATATTGCTGTCTAAATTTTGTATATGTGTATAAAAAAAGCTTCACCTAGGGATTATTTCTGCAGAAATGTATTGTAAAAATAATTTTGTGGCATATTTCTAGTCATCACTTACATGTTTGTTGAAACTTCAGTTATTTTGTTTTTCTTTTGGTCTCAAATGTAGCATTTCAGAAAATGAAATGAATAGACTGCTTGGACATAGTTATGTGAAGAACTATTGTCAATTTTAATGTTACTATTTGAGATGCCAATTTCTGAGGGGAGAAGACATGCTGTGACTTTCTTCATCGGAGTTCGCCAAACCTGACCTATTGCTTAATAGGAATGAAACATTGGTGTCTTAAAAAAAGAAAAATATATATACATATAAATATTAAAACACTGTAATAGTTGTACATGCCACAGATTATTTCCATTTGAAGAAAAAAGTACTGACTTTTTAATGTTAAAACTGCAGTAGTCATTACAGGTACAAATGAACAAATTAAAGTACCTTTTAAAAATGGGTTTTAGACTTTCGTAAATTGCCTTTGGCATACTCCTTTTAATTTTTGGTGTACCAAGAGTGTTTGGTCTACGTTGCGATCTAGTGAAATTGAAAATTCTAGCTAAAATTAGTGGTTTGGGGAATAAAGTCTGCTCACCCCTAGCACATAGATAATACAGATTTGGGTGGGGTTTTTTTTGTTTGTAACATCAGCCTTTCACAGGGTCTCTAACTTTGTGTTTCTAAGTGATTAAAAATATGATATCGAATAGTCAAAACATTACTTTTTCTTTCATGCTGGGGATTGGAATTTCCTAGCAGAATGTCCATTGCAGGCAATGGGCATGTTAAACACCAGCATTAAATGACAGTACGTTTTAGTAGGGACCACTGCCTATTTCACTCATCTCTTTATCTGTATAGGACAGTTCTAGTGATTATTTTGGGGAAAATGCGTGAATGGAATGATGTTGAAGTTCTGTGATTTTTGTCACGTTGTCTTTGCCTTACCCTTCTTTATTAAGTAATACTAGTGTTGATTTTTATGAATAGGTCCTTGAAGTATCCGGTGCTATTAAACTTCGATCCCTAAGGATTTATTAAAATGTTCCATATTGATTCACGGAGCATTTAACAAAAAAAGGCCAGTGGATGTTTTGGGACGAAGAATAACATTACTTTTCTGTAGAAATATTTTATTAGGTATTGGAAGTTTTGATATTTCTCCAGAATGCAATCCAGGGGAAGGGGGGGAAAGCGTTTTAGGTTGAATGTGAAATTTTCAGCTGTATCGAAGGTCCTATTCTGCCATCACTGAAGTCAGGAACAACTGTCATTAACTTGACTACTTTCAGGGTTAAGCCTAGTTTAGCAAAAGTGCATTAATTTGCTGCCCTGGACCAGAAGGTTGTAATTGTGGTGCTACAGGTGGTCAATTGTGTTCAGATCTGTTTTTTGTTGTTGTTGGTTCTTGTTTGTCAAACTCAGCTGCCAAAGACAAAAATTGTTTGTGTTTGTTTGTGTATATTTGTATATACATAACTATACAATATGTATGCATATACAAAACCTAGAATTTCATGATGCTAAGAAGAAAATACTACCTTTCCCCATGAAATAGTTATGTTCGGGTTTCCATGACACTAAATAGCTCTTTGAAGTTGATAGTGGTAAAATATACATAGTCGTTGCTTTCTCATGTATTAATATGCATAACCTTAATTCCATGTTTGATGCCAGTTTGCACAAGAAATTAATTCGGTGGAGTGTGGTATTTAATGTTTACAATAAGCCTCTTACTAAAACACACGTTTTATTAAGACTTCTGATGTAAATGTGTATATTACCATAGTATAAGAAGTTGATAGTGGTAAAATATACATAGTCGTTGCTTTCTCATGTATTAATATGCATAACCTTAATTCCATGTTTGATGCCAGTTTGCACAAGAAATTAATTCGGTGGAGTGTGGTATTTAATGTTTACAATAAGCCTCTTACTAAAACACACGTTTTATTAAGACTTCTGATGTAAATGTGTATATTACCATAGTATAACTGTAAGGAAATATCATTGGAGCTGCTGGTTTAGTTCTTAAAAGAATGAACTTAGAAGCAATATAACTTTTAACATTAGGCTAAATTGTGGTTGCTAAGATTTTAAGTGAAATACTGTAATTGTTCTTAAACATTAAACTAGTTACTGACTCTAGAAAACTGTTTAGCACAAATTGGCATGAATCCTGCAACAAATACAAGGTTTGTATAAAAGGTTTTGTATGTCACAAATAATTTGGCTTCCAATAATGGAAGCAAGAGCCAAAGACACTTTTAATCTATTACTGTTATAGGTATAAGTTTCATAGAACAGGGTCAACAGAAATCTGTTCAGCTCAACCAGGTGCTCTTTTTCCAAGTTTTGCTAACGTTTAGCAGAATACTAAGTTTAATTACAAGCAAAGAAAACAGAGGAAAAGAAACCTCAGAAAATACTCGCTCTGTATAAGTAAACAAACTTTTTTTTTCCTTTGGGTAAAAGTAATCGGGAGTGATGGAAAGGAAGAATGTGTTTGGAAATGAATCGGATAGATGCTGCAATTTTTTTTTTTTCTTCCACTTGCAATCAGGATGAATCTTTAGTCTTCAGCTGGTTTATAAACATGCATCTTCATAAAATAAGCCACAAATTCAATTACAGCTAGTAGACAGCTTTACTGACATTTATAGAGAACAAATGGATTAAAATGGACCCGTATGGCTTGATAAGCTTCCCTGTGCTATCCATCCTTCTGTTTTTGCTATATATGCTGATAAGCAGAGGATCCTAACATTGCCAGCTCTTGTATTTTGGAGAAATTCCCTCTCATTTTTAAACAATTATGGAAACTTAACTAAGCTACTCAGTTTACCTTGTATTTAGTACAAGTTTGGTGTTTGCTTTTGGGGTTTTTTTTCCTTTTGAAAAGTAATATACTGAATATGCTGACTTCTTGGATGAGACACTGAGAGGTCATTCTGGCAGAAGTGTCACGGGTCTTATGCTAATCTTTCTGGTGTACTATTACTGTCCTTATAGCAGAAACTTGATGATCTATGTGCAATTCCTGCTTGGTATTTGGGAGATGTAAAGTAGAAAGCCAGTTAGTGAAAGGAAAACAGCGTCCAGAGACTATAGCAGTGGACACTCCTAAGTTGATAGATGACAAACATTTGGAGCTCTTTGGACTCAATGATCTTAAAGGTCTTTTCCCACCTAAATGATTCTATGAATATTAGTAACTGAAACATTCCACAAATTAAATGTCATTCTACAGCAAAATAATATTAAGTATTTAAAATATTAATATAATTCTGTGTTACTGTTGTTTTTTCAGTTTTTATCTTTTTCAAGGAAAGCAAGCTGAAGAGGATGGAATTTACTGGAATCCTTTATGTACCTGAGTTTTCAGTTAAAACCTGTTTAAGGTTGTCTTTAAGCTACAATAAATACTTGGGTTACCTTTGTGTAGCCTTTTCTAACATTTGTAGAGGACTGGAGGCTTCTCCCATTTTACCACAAATACATGCATTTTATTTCATCACAAATATGCTCACATAATCAAAATTAGTTACTGCTCATTGCTACTTGGTTAATATTCCCAAGTTACTTTTTTGGAGGGCAAGAAATGGACTTCAGTTGTGTTAAGGTTTTCCCAGATTTCTGTTGACCCTTGGTCACAAGTCTAACAAATTGTTTAATACTCTTGGAATTCATATAGACAGCTTTAAAGGTTAGCTTGTGCCCTGGTTTTAATTATAACTGCTAAAATACCTCTTTCTAGGCCTTATATTTTGTCCTTTCATATTGCTGTAAAAGTGTATAGAATCCATCCACCAACTAAATAGTTTGTTGTCTGTAATTGAGACCAAAACTTGGCTTGATATTTTTTGTTTGTTTTTATTTTTTAAACTTTTTCCCCCTCTGTGTGTGTGTGTGTGTGTGCATGTGTACATGTGTTGTCACAAAATAGTACCTACTGACGCTGCTGTTGCAGGAACAGCAGTTAACCTGTAACTGTGAATGCTTTATGTCTTAGTTATTTGGATATTACATAAATAAGGTGTGCTAAACTCCTGTGACTCACGACTTGACAAAAATACTGTTATGCCGCCTAACATGAGTTCGTCTGGTTGATTTTTAGGTCTTTTGCTGGTGTTGATGTAAAATTGCATCCCACAAATAAACAGTATTTGTGTTGGTTTCAGCAACTGACTTCAGATTTTTCTGTGGTTCATACTTCAGAAATTCTCATATCTGAACATGCATCACGTCAGCTAGCAACCTTTATCATTTAGTAGCAGAGAACTTGTGTGTACAATCTTGTCGTCCTTATTTCTAATAGTAAGGCAAATCAGTATTTAAAACTTTGTTGGAAAAAGGTATGTTTCAAATGGAGTGTGTGGGTGTAAACCAGTATTGTAATACAAAATTTTTCAACAAAAAGAGTCAATTTGAGCAGGAATGTCTCTTAAGACAAAATTTTACAAGAAGCATGATCATTACCCACTCATCTTGACACAGGTTTTTGGCCCATGAGGTCCTCATAGAAAAGCTGTTGATGTATGGGCTGGATGAGCAGACAGTGAGGTAGACTGAAAACTGGCTGAATGGCAGGGCCCAGAGGGTGGTGGTCAGCAGTGCAACGCCTAGTTGGAGGCCAGTGGCTAGCAGTGTACCCCAGGGTCAATACTGGGCCCAGTCCTGTTCAACATCTTCAGTAATGACCTGGATGATGGGGCAGAGTGTACCCTCAGCAAGTGTGCTGATGACACCAAACTGGGAGGGGTGGCTGATACACCAGAGGGTCGTGCAGCCATCCAAAGGGACCTCGACAGGCTGAAGAAATGGGCTGACAGGAACCTCATGAACTTCAACAAGGAGAACTGCAAAGTCCTGCACCTGGGGAGGAGCAAGCCTATGCAGCAATATATGCTGGGGGTCACGCAGCTGGAAAGCAGCTTGGCAGAAAAGGACCTGGGGTTCCTGGTGGACACCAAGTCAAAGATGAGCCAGCAACGTGCCCTTGCTGCAAAGAAGGCAGAGGGTAACCTGGTCTGCGTTAGACAAAGTATTGCCAGCAGGTTGAAGGAGATGATTCTTCCCCTCTGCTCAGCACTGGTGAGGCCACACCTGGAGTCCTGTGTCCAGTTCTAGGCTCCCCAGTACCAGAGACACCCCAACATACTGGAGAGAGTCCAGCAGAGGGCCACAAAGATGATAAAGGGACTGGAGCTCCTCTCCTATGAGGAAAGGCTGAGAGAGCGGGGACTGTTTAGCCTGGAGAAGAGAAGGTGTTGGGGGGATCTTACTAATGTATATAAGTATCTGAAGGGAGAGTGTAAAGAAGACAGGCAGACTCTTCAGCAGCGCCTAGTGACAGGACCAGGGACAGTGGGCACAAACTGAAACACAGGAGGCTCCATCTGAACATCAGGAAATGCTTTTTGACTGTGAGGGTGACAGAGCACTGGCACAGGTTGTGCAGGGAGGTTGTGGAGCCTCCATCCTTGGAGATACTCAAAAGCCATCTGGACATGGCCTGGGCAGCTGGCTCTAGGTGGCCCTGCTTGAGCAGGGGGTTTGGACCAGATGACCTCCAGAGGTCACTTCCAACCTCAACTCTTCTGTGATTTCTAAAAGCATATGCTAAAGAAAATTCTGAGTTACTCAAATGTAATGCTGGAAGAGAAGGCCAATTTAGTAGTAGTTAAATGCAGTGATATTTTGATCTGAGGGTCTGTTCATGACCTTAAACACTTGTGGTTTTCCTTACTTTTTAGAAGAGTTTTTCAATTATTTGACTTGTGATGAGCTGTCGCGTTGATCTTTTTAAAGCAAAAGTGATAGTATCTAAGCAGAGCAGTAGAAAAGCTGCTAGCAATAAGACACAGAAATTACAGCCTAAATGTCCGTAATACAGTCACAAATTTAGTTTTTAAATGAGCCATTAGTTTATCTTACTACTTTGTGTTGCTTGCAGAGTTACAAATCTGTTTTTGAATAGGAAACAAACTTAAAAGCTGGCAAAGAGGATAAAGAACACATGTAAGAGGTTTCCCAAGAATTTTTTTTTAATATTTTGCACTATTTGAGCTACTAGTCCTAAGGCTCTTGACTTAAAATATTATTTAAAGTTGAATGTATTTATGTTACAATTAGGCGATTATAATGTAGAGCCCTTTCTAGAGAAGCAGTTCTTCATTACGTGCATGTTGGTGATGGAGGCTGGGATTGCCTTCACCAGTTCTCAGAATGTAGCCTGCTGCTTGTATTGATCAGAGGGGGTGAGTCACAGTCTTCTGTACCATGAAACCTTCAATATTACTATCCAAATAGTTTCTCATGTTAATTTTATGTAGGTTAAATGTGAATGTCTTTTCTTTGTATTCAAGGGTTATTTTCCAGCCCAGTTATTTGCATACTCTGGAAAGATTGAAATGCTTTGTACCTACAGCAAACAACTTGATAATTATCAAAGTATCATAAATATGTGTTTGAAAGTGAGAGCTTTGTTTCATTCACGTTACTGTGTCTGAAGTTCTCGATCTACTCTTAAGACTTCAGTATTTTTTCCTATACTAATTCACTGTATGAGGGATACTATGTCCTGTCAACCCCGGAGCTCAGCACGCCGTTGCCCTGTGAGAAGGGTGTGCCCGAACTATTACCAACATCCTCTTGGCTGCTGCCTCGTGCTTCATTTACAAATTCATACAGCATATGCTCAGCCACCTTTTTTATCGAATCTATTCTGTGACTTGGTCTGTTTACTCACTATCAACTGTGAGAGTAACATGTCTTACCTGAACATGAGTTTCGCTACCTGAAGTTACTGATGAAGCTAAAGAAGTTTCAACATCTGTAGAGCAGTTGCAGTTGCCTCTTTGTAACTGTAACTTCTATGCGGG